TAATACTTAACAATAATTAATTAATAAACAAAGATTATGTATACTTTAAATTAAGACTTCCCTCAAGGCTCCATCCATTGGTGAAGCCCTGGTGAAACCCACTCAGTTACACTCACACACATACACTCACCGAATGCAGTTGGTGCCTCGTTCAATTCGTCAGTCAGCCAGTTCGTCACTCACTCATTCACACACTCACTCACTCACTCATTCAGTCAGTCAGTCATCGCTGGGTGGATTCAGTTTTGCTATTCAATTCGTTCGGCATTCGTTTTCGATCGTTCGCATCGTGCAGTTGGTTTCGCGCTCGCGACCCTTTCTCGTTTTCTCTCTCTTTTGGGGGGATTTGCGTAATTTCCCGCAAAATACTGCCAATAAATTAAATTATATTTATATTGAAGTGCACAAGATAACAATTGAATTTAAATTTTGGAAATGTAACTGCAGAAGCAGCTACAAATAAAAGGGAATCGATCGATCGATTCACGATCGCCGTCGTGGAGGGTCGCATTTGCATACGAATAGTATTTTTTGATGCTGATTTTTGATCGCTCGCGAGTGTTGTGCGTGTGTGTTTAATAAAAATAATAAAATAATATCTGCAATCTCAACATGTGTACGTTTGTTATGTCTAAGTTCCCTCTAGCCTCGATTTTTGAGTTTTCCCTCAATTGAAACTTTTGCTTCGTTCTTTATCTTTTCGCTGTTGTGTGTTGTGTGTGTGCATTGTTTGTTTATTTTTAAACATGGGTCCAAGTCGTCCTACTATTTCTCTTTTCATTTTGCTGGTACTCTTTTTTCGTTTGGGTTATTTATTTTTCCCCCTTTTGAATGGCAGCGGAAGTGCCAGTGGCAGTGCTTCTGTATGTACATTCAATATTTTCCCAAGTACCTACCTTTATTTTACCTGGCTTCAATGATTTACGCGTTATTGTCACTGGCGCATTTATGATTGATTATCGATTGGAATTATATGATACGCATGCGCGAATGCGTGCCTGCCATAAAGAAAAGTCCTCAAAAGTCCTCGGTCCTCCGTTTTTTTTTCCATCTGAGTTATGATCGCTGGTTTCGATGGATCGTCTATGCACTGAACACAAATGTTAACTAAAGTGTTAATTAAAACGAGATTAATGTCCCCTAGATACTTTTATAAAATTGTTCTAAAATATTTATGTTTCAAGTTACTGTCATGAAGGTTTCTCAGATTATTCACTTATTTGAAATGAAGTATAGCTTCAGATAAAGACATCAAAAGGACTAAATCATAAATTAAATATATATCTTAATTGTACTCCCAAGGACCATTATTTTTCAAGTGCACTTTTCTTGGAATAAAAAAAGGAAAGAATGAGCTAGTTTTGGGTGGGGCAAGAAGGCAAAAAAAAGAAAACAGGAACGTCAGAAAGGTGGATACGTGATCTGAGCTCGGGTAATATGTAATTGCAAATTACGATTATTGATCTTTATTGATTGGGGGAATGTCCCAAGAGGCGTGTAGAAACTCACTGACAATGGATCATAAATGCATCGTAAATTGTTAAAATATTATATTGAATCATAAAAGATAAACACTTCTGATGTCTGACTCTTTTGCAGTTTGAATTGGATCAATTACAAACTACAATATTTATTTATGAAAGAAATGATTTTTGTAATACATTTTATTAAGCATTTATTGGATTTTTTTTGATATATTTTTTCATATATGGAATCTTAGAATTATCGAATAAGAAACAGAAAACCAAATTCAATGATCACGTATAACCCCTTGTTAAACCACCTGCAATCGACCGAAATGTCAAAGCTTTGCTTAAACAGCTAAGGCATTATAGAAATTTGTATGTTTGCCTCCACAATCAATCGAATTCCACAAGACAGGCCCAATCAAAAAGAGACCACAATTGCCACCAAAAACACACATACATTGGTCAGCTGGTCAAATATATGTACTCCCCTTCCTTAAAATACCTCTCTATCTAACATAAACCTAGAGATAAGTCTACTTGGAGGCCCAGCCAAGTGTCACCTAAGTTATATCTCGAACTCTAAAAATAACAACAATTTCGGTTATTCTACTTACTTTCGTATCATTCATATAATAAATATATTTATTTAAGGATTACAAATGTGAAGGATTATTTTGAAGATTAGAAAGCAAGGGTTTCCATTTAAATGAGATATAATATATGACCCATACAATTTCTTTAATACAATGTTTAAGAAATTAATAAATATTCGAGGTATAGTATTAGAACTTTAAATAAATGTGTTAATTTAAAAAGCCTCAGAATATGCCTTAAAACAATAATTTTCTGGAAATATGTATCAAATAATACAACTATATTAAATTTTACCTTCATTCCGTTTTCATCTCTTAGAACTTAACATTGTTTAAAACAAGGAAAGAGGTTTATTTAGGGAAACCGAAATTCTATACCCTTGCAGGGCAAATTTATAATAGTTTGTCAAAAATTCATTAATTTCAAATCGGAAAGCAGTTTTCTGTTAGTTTGTATGAGGTTAATAAATTTGCATACCTTACTTAAAATTTAAATTTTTGACATTTTTTTTTAAATTTTAACACCTAAAATTTTTTGAAAAAAAAATTGAAAAAAAATTTGTTTTTTAAAATATAGCTAGATCGATTCGGCTGTTGATACTGATCATGAATATTATAGGGTCAGAAATGACTTCTTCTGACTGAAATTTAATACCCTTGAAGGATGTAAATATATAATCTTAAGCTATAATTCTTGATATAACCTGGATATAACACTGTAGATATTTGAATTTTTATTTGAAGTATTTATTTTGAAATTACACCAAAGGCTATGCACATTTAACGCCTCAGGCTCTGGGTGACTTTGAGCAATTAAAAAAAAGTGGGTTTACCCGCCTCCTTCTATCAGCGTCAACACAATTGTCAATGCACAAAAATATAATAAGAATTACAAAACAAACTCGGGCAACGCCCATGTATTAGGCCCGAGTTGATCGAAATTAATTCACGCACGGCTAATTTGGCCAGAAAATGCGCCACTTGGTCTGTCGGTCTATGTATCTGTTGTCCATTGGACTCTTGGCATAAAGGTGTTTTCTTGTTGTCCAGAGCGTTGCTGCACTTGTTGTTGATTTATAGTCGGCATTTATTGCTTTGAATTGGATTTACCTGCAGCTAGCCAGCCTGCCTGCCTTCTTGCTGCCCCACCGAAAGTGGTGCAAAAGGGTGGTGGTCGGTGGTGCTGGTTCGCCTTGTGTGGTTTCATACATTTTAGTGCTCCAGCTTGCACAAATTAATGGCTACTAAATTTTCATTCAATTAGACTTTGTCACTTTTAAATTTATTTAAAAAAATATTTTTTCACACCTTGCGCGCGCAGAATATGAGATTGGCAACGTGCGGCTCGTTGATAAAGAACAGGGGCCCGGGATGCTGTGTGTAGAGAGAGTTCTTTCACAAAAGCTGTTAACATTGAAATGTCATAATTAAATTGAATTGTAGTCTTTACCGTTAGACCCGTGTGTGTGTGTGTGTGTGTATCAAGGGTGGAAAAGCCAGGGGGCGGTGTGGAAAAGGGGGTCAGAGAGAGAGACAAGACCACATTCACATTTGCGGTGCGCTGACAAGTTGTAACCATTTGGTTATCATTTGTGTATTATGAGCTGCAGTTCTCGTCACTCGTTTCAATACAGTGAAGTTCATCGGGTTGAATACAGGAAACAATATGAGGGACCGAGATAGACATACAATGAGTTGTAAAGAACAGGAGCAATTATAATTGTGGGTTTAATTAAATACGACATTTTGTTAATGGGCTTAAAGGGAAACAGAAAGTTGTGTAAAAATTAAGATTTTAGACTACAAATAGTTTCTCCTTAGATTGGCTTCAATAGTGATATTGACTTTAACAAATTGCTTTAAGAATATTTTAGGAAAGTGAAATTCGTAGCATATTGTTAAATTCTATTAAAATGTACTCCACATATTCGATTGTTTCTCTAACTACATATATTTATTCCGCAGAATATATATTTTAAGTCATTATTAAAAGTTACTGTAACTCAAGACCTTCTTACCAAAAGTCTATATGATATTTATCAAACCATTTAACTGACTCTAAGTAAACTTCAAAGTAACAATTTCCTTTCAATCTAACTAAAGGTAAAAAAAAGTGGTTCTAGAAAACTCAGTTTTATAAGAATTCGAATCATTTGTCAGGTAAATCATTGTTTCTTTTGAATCGTAAATAGTTTTCACTTCGAAGAATTCGCAAACCTCACCAAAAAAAAGTCCCCCAACAATAGAGTCTTCACAGATTACGTCAGAAGCGATAGGCGAACATCAACAATAACAATATTGAGAAGATAAAAATAATTTTCCAACGAAATCGAATTTTGATTAATCAGTCAACCAACCCATTCAACTAACTGAAATAATAATAATAATAATAATTCTCATTGAGAAAATGTTGCAGGCAATTTGTATGCAAATGGCTGCCGACAATGAAAGTGGGAGGAGTCCGTTCATGACAAGAACCTCCCAACGGCTTCATTCACAAGCCAAAATCATGATGTATTTGTAAGCTCCATCGATAAACAGTACCTCCTCTTTGGCCTGATCTGATCTCAGGCACTTGGCCAAGTCTATGCACTCAAAGAAAAAAAGCTTTATATTATATATATAGTCCCGAGATTCAAAAGACTTTCCCGAAACGATTTCCCTCAGTGCCGTGGCCATTTAGCATGCGTAGCATTGTGGGCGTTGCTGAAGCCAATCTAAGCTCAATGATTAATGTATGCCATTCCGTTTGTGTTTATTTATTATTTATATGTGCTTTATACTTACTCTTTTTATGCAGACTATCCGCCCGCTGATAGTTATACCGGTTATCGGGTAACTCCACCCCAAATCAACGGCAGCAAACACAACAACAACATTCAAATCAACAACAACAGCAGCCATCACATCACATAACAACATCAACAACATCTGCAGCAGCAGCAGTAGCAGCACAACAATTTGACAGCAATCAACAGCGGCAACAGAATGGACACCGACGATGTGGAATCAAATACCAGCAGCGCCATGTCCACGTTGGGCTCACTCTTCTCGTTCACATCGCCGGCGGTAAAGAAGCTGCTGGGTTGGAAGCAAGGCGACGAGGAGGAGAAATGGGCGGAGAAGGCCGTCGACAGTCTAGTGAAGAAGCTGAAGAACGGAAGGGAGCTATCGAGGAGCTAGAGCGGGCTCTGTCATGTCCAGGACAACCCTCGAAATGTGTAACCATTCCGCGCTCACTTGACGGACGATTACAGGTGGGTTTATCATATAAGAAGTTCCTATAGTCCTGTAAACTAATTGAAATCCTTCAACTAGGTCTCTCATCGCAAAGGATTACCGCATGTCATCTACTGCCGCGTTTGGCGCTGGCCTGACCTGCAGTCACATCACGAACTGAAACCCTGGAACTCTGCCAGTATCCGTTTAGCGCCAAGCAAA